ATATGACTCCAGGTCTGTTCTACAGGGCTGTTAGAGGCCAAGTTATCCCAAGAGCATAAGATATTAGAGATCACTGCAGTTCTATGAACTATAATTATCTGTTCTGCCACCCATGCTGACAGACCATACGGTAAAGTGTTTGCTAACTCGCTCAATGAATGGGATGCTCCCTTTCCCGCGGCTCCGCCTGCTTGGAATGGTCCCTCAGTTTCTTCCCAGTTAACCAAGAAACTTGAGGCCTTTGCAGCGCGACGCAGCCCCCAGGACCGCTTCTCAGTCAGTCTAGGCCTCCCTTCCTGTCTCCGCCAAAAGGTTCTAGGCTCCTCCCCACTCTGCGGAGCTCCCCTAGCCAGCCCCAGAGCCTTGACCCCTCTCTCCCGAAGCCCCCTATCCGACGAAACTTCTTCCTCCGCATCACGTCTCTGCCCCTCGGCAGAGCCACCGCCCCCAGGCAGAGTAACCACGCACGCCCTCTGGACCATCTCCACTTTTCCAAAAATAACCCCCTCGGCACCCGCCCCCTTGGCAGCTGCTGCCCGGGCGGTACCTGAGCCGCAGACAAAGCAGCCAGAGAGGACCAAGAGCAGGCGTACTGCCCCACTGCCCCCGACGCCCCAGTCCCAGGACCCGCGACCAACTGCCTGCGAGACCGCCACTTTCATTCCTCCCGCCATGGTTGCCTCACGCCGCCGCCTCCTCACGTGCCTCCCCCCAGCAACTAACCCCAAACAGGCACGCCAACAGCCTATCCGCTACAAGACCCGCCCCTATCAACCAATCGGACGGGCGAGGCTTCGCGCACCCCTCCATGGACCCTAAGAATCCCGCCCCTTAGCAACCGATGGGCGAGGGCGGGAGTAGCAGTTTTCAGCCTATTAGAAACCGGTTCTCACCCTGCAATGGCGACAGGAAGGTCCCACCCCTTAACATGTTTCCGTCTCCAGTTTATTTACAACTGGTGCGATTGATGGTAAGCGCAACGAATAGAAAATCACAATGGGCGAAGCCTCCTGGACCGAACTTGCTATTTTCATCCAAACTGTCTCAAGTTCCTTTGGTTTCCTTTCTTCCCCTGTACCACGATCTTTCTGTTATGGGAAGCCTTTAATTGAGATATCTTTATGAATAGGGTCCTGACGGGACTATTTTTTAGTGTAAAACGATTGACAAAATGTCCTCCAAAGTCCTAAAGGATTTAAAACAGAAGTCGCAAAAAAATTGTCAAGTGTTTTATAGGCATAAACATTAGCGTTTAAAAATGTAGTCATGGGGATTTTTATTTTGGGAAACAAAATGAATGTGAGGATTAAGAGAAGATTTCTTTATTCCTCACATCATCTCGTGAGACAAATATAATTCTCTCCATTTAAGACGCCAAGGCAGGCTGGGTGTGGTGGCTGACGCCTGTAATCCTAGCACTTGGGAGCCGCAGGTGGGAGGATTGCCTGAGACCAGAATCCGAGGCCAGCCCGAACAACCCAGGGAGACCCTGTCTCTACATAAAACACAAAAATTAGGTGTGGTGATGCATGCCTGTGGTCTCAGCTTCTGAAAAGGAAGAGGCAGGAGGATCACCTGAGCCCTAGAGTTTGAGGTTGCAGTGAGGTATGATGACACCAGTGCACTCTAGTGCAGGCAACAGAGCTAGACCCTGTCTCAAAAAAACAAAAAGTAGCCAAGGTGAAGACAGTCAAAGGAACTTAACCAAGATTTCACAGTTTGTTCCTCTGGGCTGCTGTCCCATCCTAAATCCTACTGACCCCAAAGCCTGAGTTATTTCTGTGTATAAGCTGCTTCCCACTGAATGGTTTAACACAGCGATGGCCTAGCAGAGTGCCTGGCACATAGCAGGTGTTCAGAAACTGTTAGAAACTGAAGCATCTTTTTTAAAGAGGATCTGATGGTGAGGGGTAGGAAGACTAGAAATGATGGAGCCAAGTGAGTTGAGAAATTCAAGGAAGTGGGTAACTTTTGGCCAAGGTTCAAGCTTTCAAAACAAGAAATGTTTAAAAGTCAAAATGGGGCTTAGCTATGGACAAGAGAAGAAATTTCATACTCAGAAAGAAAAGTCTCGGCCAACTGTGCCACAACGGCCATCCTATGTGTCACACACACATTCCCTAGGCTGACCCAGGTAGGTCAGCATCAACAGTAATAAATCACATTGATAATATGTACCTCTGAAATCATGTGATAAAAATGGCATATTTACTTCTGTGGTCTTCCTTCCCCAAACCCGTCACACCAGACTAATCATGAGAAAAACATTAGACAAATTCCAATAGAGTCCTATTACACCCAGGAATTTTTTTTTTTTTATTATTTCAATAGAGGGGCATCCTGCTAAATACCTGATCAGTACTCCTCAGAACTGTCAAGGTCATCAAAAACAAGAAAAGTCGGCTGGGCGCAGTGGCTCAGCCTGTAATCCTAGCACTCTGGGAGGCCGAGGCGGGCGGATTGCTTGAGGTCAGGAGTTCGAAACCAGCCTGAGCAAGAACGAGACCCCGTCTCTACTATAAATGGAAAGAAATTAATTGGCCAACTAAAAATATATACAAAAATTAGCCAGGCATGGTGGTGCATGCCTGTAGTCCCAACTACTTGGGAGGCTGAGGCAGGAGGATCGCTTGAGCCCAGGAGTTTGAGGTTGCTGTGAGCTAGGCTGACGCCGCGGCACTCACTCTAGCCTGGGCAACAAAGTGAGACTCTGTCTCAAAAAAAAAAAAAAAAAAAATTAAAATTAAAAAAAAAAAACACAAGAAAAGCCCAAGGAATTGTCACAGCCAAGAGGAACCTAAGGAGACATGAAAACTAAATACAATGTGGTATTGTGGGTGTAATCCTGGAACAGAAAAAATTTAGGTTTTAAAAAAAAAATACTTTCCACTGTTTTGTAGTTCCCTAAAAAAAATAAATAAATAAATAAATAAAAATACTAAGGAAAGCTGAATAAATTAATCTGAATTAATTTTGACTTTAATTACTAATAATATATCAATACTGGTTAATTAATGGTGGCAAATGTACCATACTAATGTAATAGTAGGGGAAACTGGATGTGGGGTATATAGGAACTCTCTGTAATATCATTTCAATTTTTCTGTAAATCTAAAACTGTTTTAAAAAAAATTGGCAGGGCTTGGTGGCTCACACCCGTAATCTTAGCACTCTGGAAGGTCAAGGTGGGAGGACTGCTTGAGGCCGGAAATTCAAGACCAGCCTGAACAAGAGCAAGAGCCCATCTCTACAAAAAATAGAAAATTGAGCCAGACGTGGTGGCACACACCTGTAGTCCCAGCTACCTGGGAGGCTGAGGCAGGAGGATCACTTGAACCCAGGAGTTTATGGTTGCAGTGAGCTATGATGACACCACCGCATTCTAGCCTGGACAATAGAATGAGACTCTATCTCTAAATGAATAAATAAACTCTAGTTATATATATATATATATACATACACACAAATGTATATTATTTACATGTATGTATATACACATATATAAACACATACTTCATTTTTTCTTCCAGGCCCCATTCTCACCACTCAGCTTACTCTTTGGTTTTTTTTTTTTCTTTTAGACAAGTCTCACTTTTGTTGCCCAGGCTAGAGTGCCGTGGCGTCAGCTTAGCTCATAGCAACCTCAAACTCCTGGGCTGAAGCGATCCTCCTGCCTCAGCCTCCTGAGTAGCTGGGACTACAGGCATGCACCACCATGCCCAGCATAAACATATATATATATATGTTTAGTTGGCCAATTAATTTCTTTCTATTTGTCCCAGAGACGGGGTGTTACTCTTGCTCAGGCTGGTTTTGAAATCCTGACCTTGAGCAAAACACTTGCCTCGGCCTCTCAGAGTGCTAGGATTGCAGGTGTGAGCCACCATGCCTGGCCTACTCTTTGGTTTTGACTAAAGGCAAAACCAGAGAAAATAATTTAAGGTTTGGGAACTAATTCCAGAATATCACTGACCAGTATTAAAATATGTAAACAAGATGTACAGTAATGAGACTGGTTGTCCATAAACACATCTCAACTTATCATCTAAATGAGTGCTGTCATTTCAAGATAGTCATTCAAGGAGCTTTTAGTCTTGTTTTAATAATGAGGACATTTGTCCATGTAAGTTCAGGGTAAAAATTAAAAAAAAAATAAAAAAATAATGAGGACATTGCTTGCTCAAAACACTTTAAGAATCTCCTTCAGAGTCTATAGCACACAATGCAATGAATATTCATTATCTGCAGGTGGATCTGGTTTATGCAAATAGCCAAAAGAACTCAGGCCAAAACTGATGAGTAAATGGGGCGGGAAATCTGGATGATAAATGTGTTTCAGAATTTTTTGGATTTTTGAAAATTATTATAGTATGGTGCATATACAAAATATAAGGCAACAATCCCAATGGCATCTGGACAACACTCAGTAATCAAACAAATTAATATCTCTGCAATGACTTATAGGAATAGTTATACTGGGATATATTAAAGAGGAACAAATGAAAATTATAAATAACCTCATGTAAGTTTAGATCAGGTTCTGCCACAAAATAAACTCAGATTAGGTTTTATTGCCAAATAAGTTACAAAAAAACTTTTAGTTTGCAGAAATTTTTGAATTTAGAAATTGTGGATAAAGGATTCCATATCATGAATATTTGAGGAAGGCAATTCCAGAGTTTTGAGAAGGACTACTCCATCCCATACAGTCAGTCACCCAACCTAGAAGCCTGGGAGTCAGCCTACACCCTTGTTCTCTCCCCTTAACCCCTTAATCAATCGATCAAGTCCTATTGACTTTACCTTCTGACCATCTTTTGAATCTGTTCTTTTCTCTCCATCCCCTGCCACTGATTTCATCCAACACCTTGCCATCTCTCATTTGGAACTTTAAGTAAGAAGGTCTTTCAGTTTCCTTCAAGCTGGCCTCCCTGATGCTTTTGGCACCATAAATCATTCCTCCACTCTATTACTAAATGCAGATCTGACCATGCCATTACCATATAACCAAGGCTTTGTGGTTCCACAGTAACTCCACAGGATGAAGTGCAGGGTCCTTAGTATGGCCTAAAATATAGATGTAAAGAAACAAGTAACTATAATATAACAATGCAATTCAAAGTTTGTTACCAATCTACAATGAAACAATTTCAGAAATTAAGTGTAAGCATTTAAAAAGTTTTATAGCAATCTGACAAAGAAATTTTATATTTATTTTAATCTAGTAAAAATGGGGGGTTATTTCTTTTCTTTTTCTTTTTTCTTTGAGACAGAGTCTCACTCTATCACCTGGGCTACAGTGCCCTGTCGTCAGCCTTGCTCACAGCAACCTCAAATTCCTGCGCTCAAGGGATCCTCCTTCCTCAGCCTCCTGAGTAGCTGGGACTCAGGCACACACCACCATGCCCAGCTAATTTTTTCTACTTTTAATAGAAATAGGGTCTCACTCTTGCTCAGGCTGGTCTTGAACTCCTGAGTTCAAGCGAACCTCCCACCTCAGCCTCCCAGAGTGCTAGGATTACAGGTGTGAGCTACTGCATCCCGCTTTATTTCATTTTTTGAATAATTCACTTTTAGTGTATTTTATAAAAATAGTGGACAATAATTGGAAACATTTTAACAATTGATCATTAACCATAGTTTGAGAAGCACTAGTCTATATCTTTAACGGAATGGCCTTGTACATGTCCTTAGGCTCATTTCTAACCATCTCTGCTTGCTACCCAGCAATAATGTACAACAATTTCTAGTTTCTTATACTTACCAGTTTCATACCTCCATGCAAGTGTACATCCTGGTCTCTGTGAATTGACTTCCCTTCCTCTTAGAAATCTTCTATTCATACTTCAAAATCCTGGACTACATCATCACTTCCTTTGGACACTTGTCTAAACCAGCCCCTCCCAACCCACAGCAGAATAGACCACTTATTCTCCTACACTTCTGTTATTATACCCCTATCATTGCACTGATAATTATTTGTTTACATGCCTATCACCCCTACTAGTCAGAGTTCCTTTGAGGCAGTAGTTAGGATTATTTGTTTTTGAGAGGTGAAACATTTCTTGTAAAATTAGTAATTTCAAGGACAATACTCCTTATATGATATATTCTGACATAATACTGAAAGATAAAAACAAGGAAAATTATTACTTTCTATTCTTGTTTTTCTATTATTGTGTAGATTTTAGACCTGTACCTTTAGCACCTGGGTGGGAATTAACAGAACAGTGGACATTTTAGAAGGTCAAGGAGTCAGACTTATGGTACTCACTGGAAATGTTAAAAGGGAACAGGATTCCAGTAATGTGGGAGGCCAAGACAGGAAGATCAGTCGAGGCCAGGATATAGACCAGCCTGGGCAAAACAGCAAGAGTATGTCTCTACCAAAAAATGTAAAAATAGCCAGGCATGCTGGCCTGCAAATGTAGTCCCAAATACTTGGGAGGCTGAGGTAGAAGGATTGATTGAGCCCAGGAATTTGAGGTTTCAGTGAGCTATGATCATGCCACTGCACTCCAGCCTGGACAACACAGGGAGAGTCTGTCTCTTAAAAAAAAATTTTTTTTTTTTTTTGAGACAGAGTCTCACTTTGTTGCCCAGGCTAGAGTGAGTGCCATGCTGTCAGCCTAGCTCACAGCAACCTCAGACTCCTGGCTCAAGCAATCCTCCTGCCTCAGCCTCCCAAGTAGCTGGGACTACAGGCATTCGCCACCATGCCCGGCTAATTTTTTGTATATATTAGTTGGCCAATTAATTTCTTTCTATTTATAGTAGAGAAGGGGTCTCGCTCTTGCTCAGGCTGGTTTTGAACTCCTGACCTCCAGCAATCCACCCGCCTCGGCCTCCCAGAGAGCTAGGATTACAGGCGTGAGCCACCGTGCCCGGCCTTTAAAAAATTTTTTTAAAAAAAGTCTCCACTTTAACAGTTTTGCTCAGGCTCAGCCCCTTTTAGAGTAAAAGCTGTCAACTGCCCTTTTCAAAATTGCTCAGGCCTGTAAATAACACTATCCATTCATTTCAGAGGGTCTACCAGATAACGGGCCTACCCTGGAGAGGTCCTGGGCTGAGAGTAAAACAAGCAACTCTAATCAAAATGTGTACAAAGACCCACTAGGCCACTGAGGGGTGGGAGGAATTAATTCTGCTTGGAGGAGTGGAGGGGGTCCAGGAAGGAGAGGTTTGAGCCAAATCTTGCTGAGTGAGTTGGATTTGGCCCGGTGAAAACGTGGGGGGGAGGACTGAGCAGAGCAATCTGCTAGATGAAAATCTACACGTGCCTAGGAACAGTCTCCTCACTCCTCTTCCACCCACTTTCCCCCCTTTCTTCGCAATCTTTTCCTCTTTTCTTGGAAAACTAGGACTGAGGATACTGTTTTCCTTCCTTGAACAGGCCAGAGTAGGTGATAAAAGAGAATATTAATCCTTGATTAAAGGAGATCAGTTGCTCTGCTTCGTGTGTCTTTGAGACCACAGGGGGAGGAGGAAAGCAGGTGAGTCAGGCAGGGAAGTGGTCCTGAGTAAGAAAAAGAGACACTGGGAAGAAAGGGGCCCATGCAGAAAACAAGAGATGAAAATTCTTGTATTTGTTCCCCACTCCCTTCTTTTGTCACCCCCCACCACCACCACCACCACCTGCCTCTAATCTTTATGTTTTTCTACAGTTTCCCGTGGTCTCAGTCTCTCTTTGTCTCTCTCCCTTTGCTAAAGGCTGGAAATTCCTTGTTCTCAACGGAAGGGAGTAGGAGGGGAGTTGGGGGTGGTGGGAGTGGGAGGGAAGAACAGACATCTCAGCAGCTCGGGCTGCGGGGGCGCTCTGGGCCTCTGGTGGGGCCTGACAAGTCAATGATTTTTTTTTAATAGGGGCTCAGATACAAACCTAGAGAGATAGAGACACAGAAATACAAGTAGATGTAAAGAAACGTATAAATACACAATCCCAGGGTACAGAGACACAAACTGGCAACAGCGTCTTAAATTTGCTTAGCATTCTACAGTTGACAAAGAGTTTTTACATACATTCTCTCATTTGAACCTCGCGACAATTTTCAGAAACAAGGATACAAACACTCGGTAGTTTCACTCTCACACAGGTTCGAACCCGGACCCTTCTGACTCCCCTAGGGAGTGGGCAGGCTCCTTCCGCGGGATTTTCCTTCCCTCCTCCCTCTCCGGCCGAGCACCCGCCCCAGGACCCGGGAGTGGAGGTCTCAAAGTCGGCTCCTCCCTCGTCCTCTCTCCCGGACCGGGACCCGGGCGCCCGGCGCCCGGGACGTTGCCGCGCCCTGGCTCCACGCCCTACTCCGCCCCCCTCCGTGGGCGGGCGTCTCCCTCCAGATCCCAGGGCTCAGCGCCGCCCCAAGGGGGCCCGGGTGGGAGGGAGGGGGGCGCCTCGAGCAGAGGCTGTGTGGGCGGAGGATGTGCGTCACGGGGAGCGTGGGCAGAGGGAGGGAGGGGGCACGTGGAAACCCGGGGCCAGCGGCTGGCAGCCCAGGATCCAAAATAACCCAAGGGGGGAGTTGAGTGGGGGAGGGGTGCCCACAGACATCAGAGGGGATCCGGGGGTGCCCGCGAGGGAGCCAGTCTAGCGGCGCCCTCCAGTTGCAGGACGGGGGATTGTGAGAGGGGACTGTGCACGTTCCTACCACCCCCGCTGTGTTTGGCTGTTTATGGGATGAACAGAATGTGAGGCACTGAAATCCCCCCACCGATAACACACTCCTCCTCCCCTGCCCCCACCAGAGACGGAAAGGTTCCCTCGCCACGCCGGAATGTAGAGCCAGCCCCGGCCCACGCCACCCACGCCCTTGTTTGGCCCTGCCACTCAGACGTGCGGAACGGCGGGGCGGCGCTGAGGTTTCGGACCAGGGGAAACCAAGCCTGTGGCCAGACCGCTAGCGCCCCGCTGCCCCCCCCCCCCGCCCAATTTCCCTGGGGCCTAGAGCCGTTGGACCGGGCCCTCAGAGCCCCCGCCCCCCCAGCCGTGGGCGGGAGTGTAATGGGAACCAGATGGGAAACCAAGGGGGGAGGGGGCGGTGGGTGGCTGGGGGTGGGAGGGAGCTAGGCTCCTTGAAGGCGCTCCTCCTCCCTCCAGCTCCTCCGAAGGATGTCGGGTCGGACGCTGCGGGCCTCCTGCTCACCTCCACTAGACTCTCTCGGAAAAGGGCCCCTGACACGTCCCCGGAAAGGGTATCCCTCCTTATCGCAGCTTTGCCACACAGAATTCCCAGGCAAGGCCTCAACCTTAGAAAATACGGTACAAGCAGAGCAAGGCGGGACGCACCCCATCTCTGCCTGACCTAAGCGCTAACAAAATCCGACGCGTCTAATCAACACGCGCACCTAAATGGTGGCTCCTAGCATAACCCGCCTATCCCGTTTCCCAAACTTTGGCAACGTCTGGAGGCAAGGCGGGAGGAGGCCTGGGTTTCTGAGAGCCGCCTCCTCAAATTACTCCTTTGGGGGCTAGGGAAGGGGGCCCGGTCATCTAAGGGGTTCCCGCAGAGCCCCACGCGCTCAGACCTGCCGTAAGTGTACACTCTATGGGAGTCAGATGCACGCACAGGAGTCGCCGCGCACCCCAAGCTTTCGCCAACTTTTGCCGGCTCACTCCTAACATTCACACGTCCAGCACCGCAAGGCCTGAGTGTGGGCAGCGGGCGTCCGCGCAGTTGTTTAGGCGCGTGTGCACGTCCGTGCGCTTCTGTGTCTTTGTGTACCTGTGCGTGGTTGTGAAACTCTGCTCTCAGCTCGAAGGGGTAGGTGTAGGGGGGAAATAGGAATGTCGCCGGCGGGGCGCTCACGTGGGTACGTGGGCGCGGAGAGGGCCGGCTGTGCATCCGGCGTGGGCGGCACGGAGCGACCTTGCCCCGCCCGCTGGGTCCCCAAGCCCGCCCTCCACATCCCGGCCTGGTTCACCTCGGTCCCTAACTCGGCGCCCCGGCTGAGTCCCCGCCCCCGCCTCCTCTTCCACACCCCCTTCCCCCAGTCTCCGCCTCTCTCAGTCTCCTAGCCGTGGCGTCTCGGCGGCCCAGAGGCTCTGGCGCCCGCCCCCCGCCTCTGCCCCCGCCCCCGCCCCCGGCTGTGCCCACGCCCTCCGCCCGCCAGCCCGGCAGCCAGCGCAGCGCGGGCCTCGCTCCCCGTGCGTCCTGCGGGGGCGGAGGCGCGGAGAGGCTGCAAGCGCAGCCGGGGAGTGGGGGGGCAGAGGCACAGACAGAGGCGCGGAGGCTCGGAGAGAAAAGACGTGGAGGGAGGGCCGGAGCCTGGACAGCGGTGGACACGGCATCCTGCGCGGGGAAGAACGCAGCGCGCAGCAGGCGCCGAGTGCCGGGCACCGAGGGGGGCAGCCCTGGTGGTCTCCGGCCGTCCATGCACAGGGCGCCTTCCCCCACAGCCGAGCAGCCGCCGGGCGGAGGGGACAGCGCCCGCCGGACCTCAAAGCCCAGACTCAAGTTAGTGGGCAAAGGGAGGCGGTGGGGAGTGGAGATGGGTGGAGCCGGACTCGGGATTGGGGTCCGGAGGGTGGAGGTCGAGGAGAGGACGTGGGGAAGTGGGACGGGGGTGGGAGGGTGGAGACTGATGGAAAAGGGGGTGCGTCTTCGAATTAGGGGACCCTGGGAACAGGCAAAAATCTGATGAAGCTGGATATGAGAGTAGTGCCGAATTCTTCATTTCTGGTTTACTTTGTGGGCATGACCTGGCATGTGAGCCCCCTGCAAAGAATGTGGGAGCCCCCAAGTGTCAGGGGAAGCCCGGGAGCTCGAGCTGGCAACAGTGCATGGAGAGATTGGGGGGCGCTCGGCTGGCTCCGTCGGCCGTTGGCACGGAACTCGAGAGCCCCCGGGGTGCAGGAGAAACCGGTGTCTTTGAGTTAAAGGAGCATCTGCGGGGCTGCAGAGAGGCAGGGCATGTCTTAGGCGTCCCTCCCATATCTGTCCCTTTATTCACAGAGTCTAGAGGGGAATATCGGTGTGCAGCCCCTCAACCAAGAGCCTTGAGCCGCTCCCCCACTCCACTTGAAGGTGTGGGTGGAAAATAAGGGAGAGAAGTAGGCGGGAGCCCCGGGGCGGTTTTCGCCCACAGACGCAACCACTGTGGGAGTGTGTGGGGGCGGAACGGCCCCAGAGCAGAACAATTGAGGTGCCCCTCCCGTCCTGCGGGCCCCTGAGCTGAAGGCCTACAGAGCAATTGGGGAATCTCACTGCTAGGATAGGAGCAACTGAGGGGCACTGGACAGTCTAGAAGGGAGGAGAGGTCCTGGGGGGAGAGAGCAAGGATGCCTTAAGAGAATGCATAATCCTTGGGAAAAGCTTAGGGGAGAGAAGCAGGGATCCACCTGGCTTACTGAAAGGGAAGGCCAGGGAAAGGCCACACCCCTCCCTCTCAGCCACCTGGGCAGGATGCCACCAGGGAATGAAGCTGGCCAACAGTGGCTAGCAGTGTCTGCTGTGGGGAGGACAGGGGTCCTGCATTTCCCTTAGTGTGGGATGTCACCTTAAGTAGTGTTGAGGCTGCTGGACATTTAGGGTGGAAGGTGAGGACTGTTTCGGTGAGAGAAATGCAGCCATCCCAGAGGCTTGCTGGTCGCCCTCAGGGCTCAAGGTCTTCTTGCCTCAGACCAGAAGTGTACCTGTACCCTGCAGAGACAGGGTACTGGCTTTTGGTACCTCTAGCTAGTCTGGGATGGCATTGCCTCAGAGCAGTGCCTGATTCTCATGGTCTGTGCTCAGACCTTGGCACTGGGCAGGAGAGCATTCAAACGAGGGAGGGGAAGAGAAGCAGGCAGGAAAGGGAGGACAATTGTTAGTGTGGGTTGGTACTCAGCAAGGGGACTTGCACTGACTGCCTCCCTCTTGTGCCCTTCCTTCTCAGGCCCAGTGCCCGCACCATGGCCCTGCCTCGGACACTGGGGGAGCTACAGCTGTACCGTGTCCTACAACGCGCTAACCTCCTTTCCTACTACGAGACCTTCATCCAGCAGGGAGGGGACGACGTGCAGCAGCTGTGCGAGGCTGGCGAGGAGGAGTTTCTGGAGATCATGGCACTTGTGGGCATGGCCACCAAGCCCCTCCATGTCCGACGCCTGCAGAAGGCACTGAGAGAGTGGGCCACCAATCCAGGGCTCTTCAGTCAACCAGTGCCTGCCGTGCCTGTCTCCAGCATCCCACTTTTCAAGATCTCTGAGACTGCGGGTAGCCGGAAAGGGAGCATGAGCAATGGGCATGGCAGCCCAGGGGAAAAGGCAGGCAGTGCTCGCAGTTTTAGCCCCAAGAGTCCCCTTGAACTTGGAGAGAAGCTATCACCACTGCCTGGGGGACCTGGAGCTGGGGACCCCCGGATCTGGCCAGGCCGGAGCACTCCAGAGTCGGACGTTGGGGCAGGAGGAGATGAGGAGGCTGGTTCACCCCCCTTCTCCCCACCTGCGGGGGGAGGAGCCTCTGAGGGGACTGGGGCTGGGGGGTTGGCAGCAGGTGGGGCTGGGGGGGGTCCCGACCGACTGGAGCCAGAGATGGTACGCATGGTGGTGGAGAGTGTGGAGAGGATCTTCCGGAGCTTCCCTAGGGGGGATGCTGGGGAGGTCACATCCCTGCTGAAGCTGAATAAGAAGCTGGCACGGAGTGTGGGACACATCTTTGAGATGGACGATAATGACAGCCAGAAGGAAGAGGAGATCCGCAAATACAGCATCATCTATGGCCGCTTTGACTCCAAGCGGCGGGAGGGCAAGCAGCTTAGCCTGCACGAGGTGAGAACCCGACCGGGGGCCTCTCAGGATTACCCTTGACTCCTAGGCCTCCACCCACTTACCTCTGAGAATTCTTCCCTCTCCAACTCTGCTTTGTTGTCCCTTGACCAGGACCCCAGGTCCTGACCCCCTCTCTCACACACCCCAACAGCAGCTGCTCCAGTGCTTCCATCCTCAACTGAGGGGGAAGCAGGGATGCAGGTGAGGGCCCAGCTGCGCAGCTCTGTGTCACTCAGGACCCCACAGGAGTGGAGGTGGCCCCAGGCAGTCCTTGGAAGCTGTGGGTGCTGATCTCTGTCTTTCTCCCTCAGAAAGCTCCTGTGTAGTGTGAAAGCCAAAGCAAGCCTCCAGTGGTTGGGTGGTCACTTCTCTGGTGGTGAAGGGGTGTAAGGACATCTGGGGGAGGCAGCGGGGTAGTGAGGATTCTGACTGTTCTGGCTGCCCTCTCTCCACAGCTGACCATCAATGAGGCTGCTGCCCAGTTCTGCATGAGGGACAACACGCTCTTACTGCGGAGAGTGGAGCTCTTCTCCCTGTCCCGCCAAGTGGCCCGAGAGAGCACCTACTTGTCCTCCTTGAAAGGCTCCAGGTGAGACCCTTTCCCCAGGTCCTTCCTAGATTGGAATCCTGCCAAGGAGTTGGATCGTGTCCTAACTTCTAGCTAAGGTGGCTCTAGGCCTGCTTCCCACTCTCCTACATGTCCTGTCTTTGGCCAAGGCAGCTTGTCTGAGGTCTAGTCCCTCCCTCATCCATCTTAGTTTTCCCTAGCCCCCTACAACGATAGCGTCTGAGCTGGAAACTCCTACCCAGTCATTGTCTTGGCAAAGCTTTTAAGTAATGCATGCTCCTGGCCAGATTCTGTGTCCTGCCCATGTGTGGCTCTCCTCAGCCTCACCTTTGCATTCTTCTCCGTCTTTTCAGGCTCCACCCTGAAGAATTGGGAGGCCCCCCACTAAAGAAGCTGAAACAGGAGGTACGTTTTCCAGGGTACATGTAGGGGGGTAGGGTAGCCTTCCCCAACCCTGTCCCTTGCCATATCCTCATTTCCCCATTTGGGGCTTCCACAGGTTGGAGAACAGAGTCACCCTGAAATGCAGCAGCCTCCCCCAGGCCCTGAGTCCTATGTACCCCAGTATCGTCCCAGCCTGGAGGAAGACAGTGCCAGCCTGTCTGGGGAGAGTTTAGATGGACACTTGCAGGGTAAGTGTACATCCAAACGCTTGTCTCTTCACTGGGGGGAGGATAGGGGTGGAGGGTGGGAGGAGTAAACCCAGAGGCAACTGCCTGGAACAGGGTTGGGAGGCCTGGCTGGATGGGGGCAGAGGATCTTTGGGTCTGGCTGTGCGGTTGAGGGTGGGGGTTCCGTTGGCTGCAGCCCCTTGCCTGACCAGTGCCCATGCCCACAGCTGTGGGGTCGTGCCCAAGGCTGACGCCGCCCCCTGCTGACCTGCCTCTGGCATTGCCAGCCCATGGGCTATGGAGCCGCCACATCCTGCAGCAGACATTGATGGACGAGGGGCTGCGGCTCGCCCGCCTCGTCTCCCATGACCGCGTGGGCCGCCTCAGCCCCTGTGTGCCTGCAAAGCCACCTCTCGCAGGTGAGGCAGCCAGCAGTGCTGTCCCCAAGCACCCTAGCCACCCAGGCCCCACACAGCAATCCTGGTGTCCTGGGGCCAGGTGGGAGGAAGAGGGTTGTAGTCACCAGAGAGGGTAGGAGGGTCGGGCTCCAGCCAACCAGGGCTGGGGTTGAGGAGAGCAGGACCTTGCTGTTCCCACCGGGGAGAGTCTGGTCCTAGTGGAGATCCGTGAAGGGGAAGCTGGGGGGACCCGGGGACAGAGAATGGAGGTGAAGGGGAACAGGAAGGAGGGTCACCAATAAGGGAAGCTTGGACAGAACTTCCACCAATGCAGGAGGGTGGAACAGGCTAGGAGTTGTGGGGGTGGGGTTGCCCAGCTTGGAAGCAGAGGAGCCCAAAGGGGGATGCTTTGTGTGTGGAAGGGGAAGAGAGAGTGGGCCGGCAGAGGGCCGGGCAGCGGCTGGGCTGAGAGTGACGCAGCAGACAAAGCCACCAACCCTGGCTCGGTATTTTTAAACTGTGCGTGGGTGGGAAGTGGGGGCGGGGACTGGAAGGGGGGCTCTTCTTGAGGGAGGAGCTGGGAGGCTAGCTTCCTGTGTTCCCCCTGATTTGGCTACCAGAAAACTTGGGGGGCCATGGTAGGTTGGGTGGGGCTTGGGAGGGGGCCAGGGATTAGTGGGGGTGGCAGAGCCTGGCAAGGGGGGAGGGGGAGAGGTCAGAGCCAAACCGCCCCCGCAGCTCCTGACAGAACCAGAAATTCCAGCAGAACGGGGGCGGTAGAGACAGAGAGAAAGAGACACACACAGAGACAGAGAGCTACATTACAGGCAGAAAGGGGAGAGGGGCTGCACATGCTTGGGTGCGGAACCCCCCCCATACACACGCACTGGGCAGAAGGCAGTCATTCAGTAACTTGAGCTCATCTTCACAGCTTTCTCTCCCCCTGCTTCTGTTCCCAAACCCTGCTCTCTGCGGCTTCCACCCTGATTTACAGTCTACTAACCGACCCCTTTTCTTCCCCGCAGAGTTCGAGGAGGGGCTGCTGGACCGCTGCCCTGCCCCAGGACCGCATCCCGCTCTGGTAGAAGGTCGCAGGAGCAGCGTGAAAGTGGAGGCTGAGGCCAGCCGGCAGTGAGGGGTGGACTGGTGTCCTCAGACCCAGGGCCCCAGACTTCTGGTTCACACAGACCCCACACTCTCCGTCCCCGGAAACCTCATCACAACCCCCGGATCCTTCCGCTGCCTTCTCCTGCCTCCCCACCTGCTCCATGGGCATAAGACTATGGGGCTTCAAGCAATAACGAGCCGAGCAGGGGCCTGGCCTGGCGAGAGGACACAAGGAGGGTGCGTGGTGCCCCTCATCCCTGCCCAGATCGAGGGGCAAGGACTCTGCCTCCAGGGCATTTGGGGTTCTCCCCTCCCTCACACAGCACACTCCCATTCTCTCTAGGTTTGCACCAGTGGCGTGAGCAGCTGGACTCAGTTTGGACATGGGGGAAAGTGGGACTTCCCTGGGAAGGTCCAACAGCTAAAAATGGCAGCATTTCCCCCCAGAACTGGGGGCCTGGGAACACTGGACTTGCTCCTTCTCCCCTCTCCCTTCCCATTTTTGTGCTTCTAGTTTGTTTCTTTAATTTAACACGTGCTGCAGTTTGCCCTCCCATCCTCATCTCTCCCCCTGAGTCCTCAGCAGTTCTTTCCCTCCTGCCCTGGGAGGGGGGCAGTGGATGTGAGATCCCTTCACTGGCCCTCTAACTCCCTCAGGAGGCCTCGGTTGGACCCAGGGTCTCCCCCAGCAGGGGGCTGGACTGCAGCACCTATCTGAGCAGTTAGAGCATCTTTCTTTTCAGATTGTGTACAGTAGATTATTTATTTTGTTATTTTGGAATAAAATTTATTTTATGGCTTAGGATCTATGACCCCCTCCTCAAGAGGGAGAAAGGGTGGCATGGGATGGGAAGTGAAGGGGCGCTGACGGTAGATGGGGAAACAGAAGAGATGCAGCAGGCAGGATCCCTAATACACCAAGGGCCACGTGGCTGGGCCTGGACTATGACCCCCTTCTCCCAGGCAGCACTGGGAGTATTAAGCTATGTGCAGATGTCACAGCCACATAGAGCCACCTGGACACAGTCATACTCAAAACTGAGAGTACATTTGGGTTAGCTTGTGTCAGAGATGCTAGCACACTTGCTGGTGTCTTTTGTCCAATATCTCATCCTCCCGAATTGTGTTGTCACATAAGCAAAAGCTGATAGACATATGTTCTATGCAGTCGTATAACTTGTGTGCCATCTATACATTAACATGTATCAGGTACACACATTTTCACACAGCTGTACACAAACTTGGCCCTTGTCCTGTACAACCTCATAGAACTAGAACTTTCATCTGGCTGACATGAATTTTGGGCTTTTGAAGATTTGCTTTTTAATTTGGGCAAACCCCTTATCAGTAACCACATATCTAGATTCCCCCCTCTCTTCCCACCCAGGGTCACCTAGGGCTGGGACTCAATTCTCTCTATCCCTGGCCTTTAGGGCAAATATGTCTGCATGTTTCTACATATGCATCCTGGGCCCTGGCTCAGAGAAGCCCTCCATGCCCTAACCTGTGCTCCTGCCCAGCCCCCCCTCCCGCTCAACCCCATCTTCCTTGGAGAGCAGTGTGTGTGTGTGTGTGTGTGTGTTTTCTTCAGGTGCAGGTGTGTTGGGGCATGTCTCACTTTGGAGCCTGAACTTCCCTTCTAGTGCTGGAAGGTGGTGGAGGTGGGCAGGGATGTGTGGTAGGAAGGAAGGAGTGGATTGGCTCCACCCCCTAGGGCATTCTCCTGACAGTCTTTGCTTTCTGACCAAGGAATAGGTGGGGACAGGAGGGCATCTTCCCCACCTGCTGCTTGGTAGGAACATGAGCAGGTGTCCAGAGCAGATCCATGGGGGTGTAGAAGAGCTGCTTCTCTGGGCTTCTCCTCCAGCTGGGATCACCAACTGGGGTTGGCCCGTAGGTCCAGATGGGACATCGGGATCCCAGATTGCCCATAGGGGGAGGGCTGCAGAAGGGGCTGGGCCCCCAAGGACCCTCCCCCTGACTCCCCTTGCCCTTCCAGGAGAAGCTTGGTGAGGTCCTGTTCAGTGGGAGGCAGCAGGTGAGGGAACATATCTTCACCAATCCTGCGAGGAGACGGAGAAACAGTGGAGTAGGTGTGACACCCATTCCCCCATCCCCTACCCAGCTACCACCTCTAGGCCATTACTCACCAGGTGTCCTGAGGAAACCCTCCCACCGGCTGGCTGAGGCAGCTGTCTTCTGCCATGGTCACATCTGGGCAGAGCAGGTTCTCAGGGCTGGACACAGCATGCTTCTGAGACTGGCATTGCAGCAGGCCCCTACCAGGAACCAGAACAGAAAGTAAGAAGGGGAGGCCAGGGTAGGGCCAGGCAAGAATGAAAGCATGGAGACAGGAGAGGCTTTGTCACTCACTGGGGGTGTGACTGGTCAAAAGGCAGGTTCATCTGGCTCAGGCTGGGGGGGATCTGCAGGTGAGGCCTGGAAGCAGGAAGGAGGGCACAGTCAAAGGACCCCAAGCAAAGGCAGGGTGATGCAAAGTCAAGACCACTGAGTGAGGGAAACAGGCTCCAGCTCCTAACCCTGATTGCTTAGCTTCTCATGACTGCATGGCCTTGGGCAAGCCAGTTCTATGCTCTGAGGTCAGTCTTATCATCTGTAAAATGGGGGGTGAAGAGGGTTGGATTAGCCAGTTTCTTATGTTTCTTTGGACTCTGAACTCTACCTCACCTGGGAGGGGAGATGTGCCTTGACTAAGAGTTAATAAGCTGCCTTGAACAGGGATAAAAACACAAGAATAAAAATTAAATTAAAAATAAATTTTAAAAAAGAGTTAATAAGCATCCAAGTGTTACTGGGGAAAGAAAAATGTCTAGGCCACTTCAAGGCCAAAACAGATGAATAAATAAAAATCAACACAGCAGATAAGTGACAGTGGAATTCAGGGACAGAAGAGGTTTGCACCACAAATTCACCTAAGCATGGCTTTCTCAGAATGTGCCCCTGTTGTTAAGGGACACGTGACACAAACTTAGTTTTTGCTATGAGCCAGGCACTATCCCCAACTTTACACATATTATAAACTCATTTAACCTTACAATAATCCCATGAGGGAGGGATTATTATTATTATCTTTATTATCCCCATTTTACAGATGAGGCACCAGAGGTTATATAACTTGCCCAAAGTCAGTAAGTGGCATAACTGGAGTTCAAATCCAGGCAGTCTGAACTACTACCCCCTAAATAGAATCAACAGAAAACAAGAAGAAAGGGTGTTAGCATTTGCTGCCCCTTCCTCACCTTTATCACTCAAGAGCCTCTACTAACAAATGAAAGTGCCCATCCAGACCCCTCGGAATAGGATAGTATCTACCCTTTATCCCCAAGAAGTTTTGACTTACTCCTGGAAGGCTGGCAACACATTGACCGATTCTTCTTGGGGAAGGCCTTGATACGAGGGGATGCAGTGAGAGTGTGGTGGGTACACCGAGGGCCTGGGGAAAGAAAGCAGACCCCCTGATGCTAGCCCTTCCCCTGGACACCCCCACACCCTGTTTGGAAAGGAGAATCTCTTTCCTGGAAAGGAAAATTCCCAGCTCAACCCCCAATGCCAGCTCTGGCATGCTGAGAGCTGTCAGCATAGACCACTCCCATTCCTGTCTCTTGAGCTCCTTACGCTATATCTGGGCCAAGCTGAATGCTCATGGAGGAGTCAGGGGCCATTCCAAGATCATAAGAGGGCACCATGGTAGGCATTTGGGGCTCTGGAGTAGGAAGTGGCTGGTCCCTGGAGGAGAGTAGGAGGCACACGTGATTGACCATAGGTTGCTGCCACCACTCCTTCTTGCAGGTAAGCACCAGCCCAGGACCCCACCACCATCCACACCACCACACTCGCCTTTCCACGGTCATCTTGATGGTAGCTGGGACATAACCCCTGCCATCCTTACCCATCTGTTCAGCTGTTGTGGGAAGGAAAGGAGATCCATGGAGTGCTCTGGGGTTAGGGAAGAAGGGAGGTAGAGAAGGCAGGCATGGCTGATGGGCAGTAGGAGAAGTGGGGCTACAAAAGTGGGGAAAGAAGTCAGGGCTGACACACAGTGGGCAGAGAGAGGGGTCATCGGGAGCAGGGAGGAGGTGGGTGTCGGGAAGGAATCAGAGCTGCCAGATCCAGCTCACGCTTGTAGTGGCTCCGGAAAGCCTCGTCCTTGGGTTTCTTGGGGTAGAGGTTTTTGAGCTGAGCAAGATCCCGGATTCGGTCCCCCAGGGAGCGAATGGACAGGTCTTTGGCAGAAAATGGCTGGATGTTCTCTATCTGTGGGGAGCCTACAATAGGAAGGAGACCCTGAGTCCCCTCTGTCCCAACATTCTCCCCTGTCCCCAGCCAACACACAGCCCCCACCATTCTCAGTGCACCACAGCAGAGAGAGAGAGGACCTTGGGGGGGAGGCGCATCCTGAGGGAGGGAGACCCACTCGGCTCCCTTCCCACGGAGCTCACAGTGAGAAGGTGGAAGTTTACACCACAGAAGGGAGATAGAAGCGGGACCTAAGGAAGACCTTCCTGAAGATCAGGTTGGCATCAAGGAAGTCCAGGACATTTCCTTCCCAGAAGAAACCCCAGAGGGCACAGACACAGAGGCAGAGGACTGGCTGGGGTGACCTCACCATCCTGACCCCGGATGACATGGGCAATGGTGATGCCCCCAATCTCTGAGTCACTGAAGCGCAGGAGAAAGGTTCCATCGGGCTCGTTGAGAAGAAGGTTAGTGACGTATTGTTTGCTGATGAAGCCGATGATTAGCCTGGCCAGGATGAAGGAGAGGATGGGGGAGTGAGCACTGGGCATGGAAAGGGAGCCAAAGGCACAGCTCCACAGGCCACCTGGGTCAGGGACTCACCGGTCGGACCAGTAGCTCCGGAGACAGCGTTTGGTGAGGTCCAATACACCATCGAACCACTGCCAAAACGTAAAGCCACGGCCCAGCAGGATCTCCTGGGGGTAGGGGGAGCTGGTGTGAGTGGCGGACAGAGCTGGAGCCTGGTTAGAGCAGGCACTAGGCTGTGAGTGGCCACACAACAGAATCACAGGGCCAAGGAACCAAACTGGACCTGAGACCCCATCAATGACAACAGCCAACACTTGTGCTTACCATGTGCCAGGCACTATTCCAAGTCTTTCCATATATTGATTTATTCGATCTTTACAAGGGTATGGACATAAGTACTATAACAATCCCATTTTACACATGTAGAAGAAATGAAAGCCCAGAAAGGTCAAATGACTTGCCCAGGTCTACACAGTTGGTGAGAGGTGGAATTGGGATTTAAACCCAGGCAGTCTGGCACTGGAGCCCCTCATAACTACTTGGCTAAGTAGAGTCCAGAGGAAGGGTGTAACTTGCTGGGTGTCATTGTCCAGTCTCTTTGCTAACACATCCTCTGGTCATGTGGGCTTTTCTTTTTTAAAAAACAATTATTTTTATTTTTAAAATTTTTTTAGAGATGGGAGTCTGTGTTGCCCAGGCTGGACTCGAGTTCCTGTGCTCAAGCATCCTCCCATCTCAGCCTCCTGAGTAGCTGGGATTATGGGCACGTGTGACCGTGCCCAGCCTCTTCCTTTTTTTTTTTTTTAAAGATAACAGTACACGGCTGTGTTTGCCCAGCTGGTTGTCAGCCAAGACATCTAGATCTCCTTTTTCCTCTGTTTTTGTAAGTGACCCAGTCCTAACAGCCTTATTCTGGAAGCAGTAAAATACTGCAGTTAAGAGCAAGAGGCAGAAATATAGGGGTCCAGCTGATTTGGTGGCTCACGCCTGTAATCCTAACACTTTGGGAGGCCAAGG